ATACGCTGCCAGCTCAGCAGCCTCAGCTGCAGGTGGGCAGTGAAGGTGGCCACAAATGTGGAGCATGTGGTCATGACATTTCACACTTGGCCAATCCTCATGAACACCAGTGCATGGTTAACCAGGACCGTTCTTTCCAATGCACTCAGTGCATGAAGATCTTCAACCAAGCAACGGATCTTCTGGAGCATCAGTGTGTTCAGGTTGAGCAAAAGCCGTTTGTGTGTGGTGTGTGCAAAATGGGATTCTCCCTTCTCACGTCTTTGGCACAGCATCATAATGAACACAGCACTGGAAACAACCCAATGAAATGCTCTATTTGTGAAAAAACCTACCGCCCAGATTCATCCACCTCAAACCCTCAGCAGCCCTCCACTGCAGAGACATCCAATGATGGGGCAGCCATGGGTTCCTCTTCCACTACAGCTTTTCAGGGCTCTGACCGTCCATATAAGTGCTCAGTGTGCAATAAGGCGTTTCGCCACCTTTCAGAACTCTCTCGTCACGAAAGAGTGCACACGGGTGAGAAACCCTACAAGTGTGACACCTGTGACAAGAGCTTCAGTCAAGCTTCTCATCTGGCACACCACCAGCGCACACACAGTGCCGATCGGCCATATAAGTGCGCCGTTTGTGAGAAGACCTTCAAGCACAGGCAGCACCTGGTGCGGCACATGTACGCTCACTCTGGCGAGCACCTTTTCAAGTGCAACCTGTGCGAGCTGCATTTCAAGGAGTCGTCCGAGTTGCTGCACCACCAGTGTCAGCCTGCTGGAGAGCGTCCCTTTCGATGCACAGCATGCGGGAAAAGCTTCAAACGCCCCTCGGACCTCCGACAGCACGAGCGCACCCACTCTGAAGAGCGGCCTTTTCAGTGTGAGGAGTGCCAGATGAGCTTCAAGCAACAGTATGCGCTTGTTCGTCACCGCCGTACACACAAAAACCCAGCCGACCGCCCTTTCAAGTGCAATCAGTGTGACAAGGGTTTCCTGCAACCTTCCCACCTGCTGTATCACCAGCACGTCCATGGCATCGAGAGTCTGTTCAAATGCGCAGCTTGCCAAAAGGGCTTCAGACAATCTGGGGAGCTGCTAAGGCACAAGTGCACAGAATCAAACTCTGGGTCTAATGCGGTGGAGAAGCCGTACAAGTGTGACGTGTGCGGGAAGGGCTACAAAAAGTCGTCCACGCTTCAGCGGCACCAGAACTCTCATTGCACAGAAAAGCCACTCAAGTGCTCGCTGTGCGGCCGCCGCTTCCAATCCTCGTCGGATTTCGTGCAGCACCGTTGCGACCCTGCTCGAGAGAAGCCCATGAAGTGCGCAGACTGCGAGAGACGCTTTAAATATTCTTCCGAGTTGCAAAGACATCGAAGAGTCCATACAGGTGAGAAACCCTTTAAGTGTCCCACCTGCGACAAGGGATTCAAACAGCGCGAACACTTGGCTAAGCATGGCATTATCCACTCCCGCGAAGCTCAGTTCAAGTGCGTGTGGTGTGGAGAGTGCTTTGGAGAGCTCGGGGCCCTTCAGGAGCATACAGTTCAACACACTGCAGAGGGAGGAGGGTATCCAGCTTCCTCTTGCATAGAGTAGACCTCCTTACCAAGCTAAAATATACGTGATTATTCTTATGTACGTTTAGTGACATATCCCATAAGCATTGCAGTAACTGTTGGACTGGTAAGGAACTACAGCTTTGATGTAGATTTTGGCAACATCGCATCTACTCCACAGGCACCATCTTGATGAACAGAACCGCACTCATGAAGGGTTGCTCTTCAAAAAAGAAATGCATGTAAAAATGAACAATTTTGTCTCGTGTGTGACTCGTATACCACGTGTTGGAGACCAGCCAAGAAAAAGCTGATCAGTTTTACAAGGAACTAAAGAGTTAAAGTGTGAGTTCTGCTTTGCGCATTTAAAGACCAGTATATATCTAAAATACCAAGATAATGTAGTGCAGTTACCTGAGAAAGCTTTTTTTTTGTTGTTGTTGTTCAGAATTACTTAAGCAAGAACATGGTAGCCACCCTAGATCATCACAGGATTGACCTCGTCTAGATCATTTTCTTTTGAACTATTTGGCCTTGTACCTTACAAATTAACTGCCTTTCTTCCAGTGATCTCCATCTCATGCCTCCTCCATGTTAGTAACGGAACACCGTCTGGTCATCTGGACAATATACAGTAGTGATTGTATGTATTCTTAATGTATAACTCCCATCACCTAACCCATAATGTAACAGGGTATATGTATGCATGAATAGCCTAAATAATTTATACCGTTTGTTGTCATATTAACTTGTAGGCAAAATGACTACACGAAAAAATATTAGCCATTTTCTTTTCTCTAGCGCATTTTGACTTATAACAACGATGCAGTTAGTTTGCAAGCAGTTCTAAGAGTGAATTTACAGTAGTACCGCGTTTTACAGTTACTTACTAACTGCCAGGCGACAGAGAACAACGAAGAAGCATTTGAGTTTGCCGACTGCAAACGGATGGTGTTTTGCGTTAGCTAAATAATGCTGTAGAATTTGTAAAGATATCTGTACATGGATGTTTTGTATCACTTTGACATGAGTACAGTGCTAGGTTTTAGTATCTGTTTGTGTATCATCATACTGTAAACTGTGCATATGTGATTGTTTCCTCTTGTGAGGATATGTTGTTTCTGTTTTAGTGGATTATTCTTTTACCGCAGACACCTTGTTTAGTTTCTCTGACACTGATTTATTTGTTTAATTTCTGCTTTAGGAACAAAAATGTCACACAAGATTTTAGTTTTTGCGCGTGCGTAAATGAATCGGATGATAGAGCGCTGCAGTTAAGACAACAAAACCCTGAAGAGTTCAGATCTATGGGAAGCATCATTTTAGAATATTTGGACATTTTGCTCCACACTGCACATTTTCCCACCTCAGATGTTCATATGTAGTGATTTGTTACAAAGATGAAGCATTTTTATTGATATGGGTTTGTAATTTACATGTAAAGCAAAAAGTCCAAGTATCATCAATTTATGTTTAACTTTTAATAATAATAATAACAAGTTGAAAGTCGCATTATAAAAACCCATGGGAAGTCTTGAGGGAATTAACACTGGGTCAGCTTTCCAGGTTTTGATGCACTGCAGCACCCTATAGAACTTCTTGTTTGGGTTAAAATACTGTATCTCACTGAACTGCATAACAGGCAATCAACAGCTTTTGTAATTATATATAAAATATCTATATTGAATTGAGAAATTCAAGAGTACAAATACAGGTTAAAGGATTATAAGAAGCTAAAATACAGTATTAACTAGTAGTCGTTTTTGAAACGTAAACCTCTTACAATGCAGTTTTTAAATGTCTAATTGAATCCATATTAATAATACATTTTATGAACCTAACAGCTTGAATGTAAATATTGCAAACATTTCATGATTTTTTTTCCCCTTTCAATGCCTCTGAAAGCCTTATTAACATTAACGGCTAATGTGTCAGTATTGTTTGTTCTGTTACAGATTTGTGTACTCTTCATGTGCATTAAATGCAGAGACTGAATGGTGTCATTGCTTGTGAAGCAATATCTTTCATGTCGAGGCTATTAACACGTTGAATTAAATAAATTATTTCAGGTTTTTTTTTTGTATTTGAGAAAAATAGAGGTTATCCCACCAACCAGCACCTCTATCTGTACATTCACTTAAGCCACAGGTGTCAAACTCAGTTCCAAAAGGGCCGCAGCTCTGCACAGTTTAGTTCCAACCCTAATTAAACACACCTGATCAAACTAATTGAGTCCTTCAGGCTTGTTTGAAACTTACAGGTAAGTGTGTTGGAGCAGGGTTGGAACTAAACTGTGCAGGGCTTCGGCCCTCCAGGAATTGAGTTTAACACCCCTGACGCCATCCCTTTAAAAATATGTGTCTGGATATAAGGAGACTCAAGTTTCTGACATGCCATAATGTGTTTTTTTCTTTCTTTGATTATCACAAAGGGTTTGGCATGACATAACATATTAGGCAAAAAAATTAAATGTTTGTAAACAGTTTATGCTGTATTTATTTCTGAACCAGATGCTGCAATAATTACAGCCGATGTTGAATTTGGTCAACATTGATGTGTAGATTCAGTCTAGTCAAATAGTGTTGAAAAACAATACAGTAGAACAATAATTTGCCTTTATTTTCTTCATTATTTACTTTTGTTTTATTTTCTTCACTCAAAATACTACCTTTACATTAAATAGTGTCAGACTCTAATAACATGCAGTGCAGGTATATGGTTTAGTTTTCATTTTTATAAGATACCTTGAAGAAAACAAGCATCCAAATCAGAGGAACCATGCAAAAAATGTAAAAGGTGTCTAGTTTCTGTATGAAGACCTAAATTAAAATATTAGTAGTAAATGGGTATAAAATGTCATTTTAAAAACGTTTAGTTTCTTGTTAAGTTACATGAATCTAGAACATTTTCATGTTAATGTTTTTTTCTGTGATTTTACCTTACGAAATGCTTATTTGACTCAAGTTTTCAATATTTAATAATAAAACTATTTTCTCATCTTTATTAGGTTATTTTGATCCGATTTCAATTGCTCGTTTATTACGTAGTGTTTATTCTTTAACTTTATAAAATGTTTGAATAATCATATTTTAAAAACGAAATTCATGGATTGGTCATATATTTTACATTTGGATGTTTTTTCGTGAGAGCATTTGCGTTATAAGGACTCACAAGCACTCCATCATGGCGATTTTGGACCTCGCTTGTGTAGGTGCTGCATATCATATTACAATAATTTTAGACATACACATATATATATATATATATATATATATATAATATATAACTCCTAAAGCAGAAAAACGGCGATCTGTAATTATTACTCACCCATGCAATTTTAATTTAATTCCACGGAGGAATTTGGGGGCTTTTATTTTGGAAAACGTACAGGAAGTTTGGAGTATTTCCGTTGACTCCATGTAAGCGATAGCAAAAATCGACTAGAGTGCTATCCTAGGGGTGATATCCGCCTACCTGTCAGCGGATCCCTCGATCACTTACTCAATCTAATTGGTGGATCACTTAGAGGAACTGGGACACTCCATTTGAAGATTAATCGCAAATCTAAATTCGCGTGTATCGAAGTTGTGGTGGCCAATAAAACCAACCCATCGATACCGTTAGCTTAGTTAGCGCAGTTATCCAGAGGGAACGATTTTGAAGAGAGCCCGCTGAACCGCTGTAATGACTATTATATTTGCCAAAAGCGATGATCAAACGCCTTTTACTCCCAGAGACAATCGATCAACTCGACATTTCGGCTGCTTCACGTTGTTTATGTTCCGTATTACCGCGTAACGACGTTCAGCGAGCTTGACAGGTCTGTTTCTCAATTTCTTTTTATTTCTCTCTTTGCATCAATGTCTATTTAAATGCAGAATAGGAGAACTGCGACAGGCAATCGCATATGCATATATTACGATCTGTTTAAAATTGTTATTTGTTTTAAATAATTTTTACAAACGGACATATTATTAGGCTGCCTCGACTGACATTATGAAATCCTGATTCATTTAAAATACACTGGCGGTCCATCAGAAAATAAGCTGTTTTCTGAACCGTTTTGGACGCCCTTTGCTTTTTGCTTTGGCTTTTAGTGGCGCGAGCATAAGCGCGAGGTCATGCGCGCCTCTGCTGAGCAGCTGTCAATCACAATTGTTCGCGAGAGATCGCACTGACGCGGCTTGCAACGGTGTTTTCCGGTACCACAGTGCTTTCTGTAGTGTTTCACAAAAGAGGTTAACTTGTCGCTGTCGCTTGGAGAATCTCGTAGTAGTAGGTGGAGAGAAGGCGGATCGACTGGCAAAACCCGCCATGCCCGGTCCGGTGAGCAGCAAAGCACGGGTGTATGCAGATGCCAACACTGTGAAGAGCAAGGAATACTGGGATTATGAAGCACATGTGCCTAGCTGGAGGTATAAAGATGATATTACCAAATATATCATTGCAAAAAGTACTATTTCCTTTTAATTGTATATTCTATAAAAATGTAAATAGTATATACATATAGTGTATTTCTGCAGTATTTAGTCAGCCTTCTTTTGCCAGATGTTGTTCCCTTGTATTCAAAACACCACTGTGTTTTTTTTTTAATGTGTTCAGTAAATCTTGGTAGTTGTTACACCATATAATGTTACTATTTTGTGTCTAAAACATCCTGGTACTATGTAGGGCTGCACATCATATAGTTATCTCAATGTGATGATTCACAATAGTCGCATTGCAAGATATGTGGCATTGCAAGAATGAGTTTGTATTATAAATTATCATTTGCATTTGTTTTTAATGCCTGTAATTGTATAATTGACTTAAAAAGCATTCAGGTATAAGAAACTGAACCATTTTTGACCTTCCCATGATTAATTTTAGTGAATTATTTTTCTCATTCAGTTACTGCACTTGAATACTGTTAGACTAAGGAAATGATACAACATGTTTTCAATTGTAAATATAAAAAATATTCAAAGCACATGCAAGTACAGAAATGCACTGCAAATAGCACAAACCACATCCAAAATGTGTCAGGGGACCCCAAAAAGTTTATAGATAGTTTATTATCTATATTGGAGATGCACTCTAACTGCAGAATTATTCCAATCAATCAAACACAACAAATTCTTTCCAAATAGAAATATTAAGTCATCTGGGGAAATTCATATCACGCTTTATATAAAAAAAAATAAATAAAAAATTGCAATGCTAGATTTTTCCTTCATTGTGCAGCCCTAGTGCTATAGCATGGTAGTATGTGTCCAGTCAGTAAACATGTTTGTGTGCTTGCTGTGTTTGATTCAGCAACCAGGATGACTACCAGCTTGTACGGAAGCTCGGAAGAGGCAAATACAGTGAAGTTTTTGAGGCCATCAACATCAACAGCAACGACAGAGTAGTTGTAAAAATACTAAAGGTAGGAATGCCTGCTCTTTTATTGTATAAACATGTAAGCATCAAGTAGATAGTTCAACTAAAATAAATCATCGTTTTGTCTTCATTTTCATATCCTAATGTCATTCAAAACCCATCTAGACTTTTGTTTCATTTCCAGAGGTCTGTGGAATCAACACACATACATAACATAAAATATGCTAAAATACTCAGTTTACCATATTTGTTATGCTTCTTACATACACATTGCTCACTAACCCATTCATTTTAATTGGATTTTCTGCAGATCTGTTTGAACAAAAACAATGAGACAATTTTAAAAATATCTTAATTTTGTGGTCAGAAATGGGTGAAAGTCTTATGAGTTTTTTTTTAACTCTTGCAGCCTGTTAAGAAGAAGAAGATTAAACGTGAAATCAAAATTCTGGAGAACTTGAGAGGAGGAACCAACATCATTCGTCTTGTAGACACAGTGAAAGACCCTGTGGTAAATTTGGCTTTAATAGTGTAGCTGCTATTGTTTTGTACAGAATTGTATTTTTGCTAAATTAGACTTAAATGTGTTTTGTTTGAGCCCCATGCTGAAATTGTGTCTAAAAGGTTTTAATCTGTGACACTTGCTAATTCTTTCATTCAATATTTTGTTAAAAAGGATAGTATTTTTACCTGCCAATAAGGTTTTTGCTCTCTGTTCTCTTTAATAAGTTGTCATACTAAATGTTGGTTTAAAATAACAGGACAAGTCTTGATCTTCTAATTGTATGTGTTATTTTATTTTCCTTCTGCTGTAATTGTATTTTTTCTTGTTATTCCACAGTCTAGAACGCCAGCCCTTGTGTTTGAGTACATAAATAACACAGATTTCAAGGTACTGTTTTTATTTACTAAGTGCTAGTCATAACCTGTCAACGTGTGTGTGTGTGTGTATTAGGGCTGCTCAATTTTGGGAAAAATCTCAATCACGATTATTATTTAAAACGATCATTACTTGAAGTCAAAATTATTAGCGCTCCTAAGAATTTTTAATATATATATATATATATATATATATATATATATATATATATATATATATTTCCCAAATGATGTTTAATAGAGCAAGAAATTTGTTTTAATAACAAATAATGTGCCACACACTCACACAGAAGCATGGGGTCTTTCGTGCTTTCAAGAGCAGCAATGGTGTACAACTGGAAAGGGGGTGGTTAATGATGGAATAATCGTTTATCTCGATTAATGGTTTTTTCGCAATCGTTAGAAGCCAAAATTGAAATTGGATTTTCGATTAATTGCACAACAATTTAAAAAAAAAAAAAAAAAAAAAAAAAAAAAAAAAAAATATATATATATATATATATATATATATATATATATATATATATATATATATATATATATATATATATATATATATATATACACACACACACACACATACATACACACACACACACTGATAAATAGATAAGGATGGATGGATAGATATAAAAGCCCAAAATTATTCACACCCCAACAGTGAAAATTTGAATGTATCAGAATTTTTTTTCCAAAATTTCCTAGGACAAGTATGAGGATTGTTCAATAGTTTGATGAAACCACTTCGATGAAGGATTTAATCCATTTCAAATGTTCATGTACTGTATTAACTTCATTCTGAAATGCGAAAGTTAACTCGTTTTTGCGATTTGTTTTAGAACTTCTGATTCAGTTGCCTATGGAAAAACTGACTAGGAATAATAAATGGCAGAAAACTGTCGAATCGCTTGCTCTACATCAGTGTAAGGGTGCTTTCACACCTACACTTTTGTTTCGGAACGTATCTCGTTTGCCCAGTTAGCGCGGTTCGATTGGCATATGTGAACAGGGCAATCGCGCTCTGTTCCGCGCCAAAGTAATCGCTCCGAGATCGCTTGAGTGAGGTGGTCTCGGCTCGATTGAAACGAACCCTGGAGCGGTTCGATTGCAGTGAGAAAGCGATCCGATCCGAGCGCGCTTATATCACAGTGTTTTATGGATATGTAATAGGCATACGGCTATATGAAGAGAGGATTATGAATAGGGCGGGAAGTTTCGCGAGTCTCCGGATGCTCGCAAACGAGTGATGATCTCCCGGTAATCTCGCGTCTCTCTCCCAGTCCTCAAATAGGCATCGTCGCGCACCCTTCTCACCCCTCCCCACCGCATCTCTCCTCAGACACGTCACGCGCGCGCACCCTGTCAATCACCACCAAACCACCACCTCTCCTGACAGCTGAGCGGGACGCTGCAAAATAAACCCTGACACTCTGACCAATGTAAGGAGAGTTTACTCGCACGTGACTTGTTTTAGCTCTTTTGGTCCGATTAGAAACTTTGCAGTGTGAAAGCGAACCGCTCCAAGAGCAAAGAGCAACAATGTAACAATTTTAATCTCTGTTTCGGAACAACTGAATCGATTCACAGGTGTGAAAGCACCCTAAGTGTCACAATTTAGTTCCAACCCTTATCAAACACACCAGATCACTAATTGAGTTCTTCAGGCTTGATTGAATCCTACAGGCATGTGTGTTGAAGCAGGGCTGGAACTAAACTGTATAGGGCAGCTGCACTGTAGTAACTAAGTTTTAAACCCCTTTTCAATGTGTTTATAAATATATATAAAACAAATGAATGACATAAAAAAAGTTTGCAACATTAAACAGCATTACAAGCTATTTTTAACATCAAAAAATGAATGCCATTCCATTTTCAATGGCTGCGCCCACTTGTACGTGAAGAATAAGGTCAATGTATATGGCAGGAATTTGACCAAAAATGTCAGTTTCACTCAAATGTTTTAAAACTTACTATATGTTGTCTTGTTTTTGCTTGTAGGATCTCTATCAAAGACTAACAGACTTTGACATCCGATTTTACTTGTATGAACTTCTCAAGGTAAGCATATTAAACGACGATTACACTTTCACTTATTTTCAAGGAGAAAGTGTGCTGTGAGCATGTGCTGTGTCTTCTCGCAGGCGCTGGATTACTCTCATAGCATGGGCATCATGCATCGCGACGTCAAGCCTCATAATGTCATGATAGACCACCAAATGAGAAAGGTAGAACGATTAAAGGGATAGTCCACCCGTATCACCCCCCAAAAAACTTTCTTTATTCTGTTGAACACAAAAGAAATGTATTTTGAAGAAAACTGAAAATATGTAACCATTGACTTCCACTGTAGGAAAAACAAATATTACGGACGAAAATGGTTACAGGTTTTCAGCTTTCTTCAGAATATATTTTTGTGTTTAATAAAAAAAGAAACTGATAAAGGCTTGAAACAAGTATAGGATAAGTAAATGATAAGAACACTGTCATTATTGGGGGAATTATAATTTTTTGAAATAAAATATTTCTTTAGCATTGATGTTATTGGATTTAGAATTTGTGTTTGAATGTGTGTTTTTATTTTCTCTGTCTTTTTTTGTCTTTGTTTTTCTTGGATGTAGTTGCGGCTTATAGATTGGGGTCTTGCTGAGTTCTATCACCCTGCACAGGAGTACAATGTAAGGGTTGCTTCACGATCATATAAGGGACCAGAACTGCTAGTTGACTATCAGGTATGTTGTGTGCTTTATATTCATTTAGAAATTATGAATATTCATTTAGAAATTTTGGAATATTTAGATTTCTACAAGAATAGCAGCTAAAATGTGTCCCCCTTGTGGAAATCAAACATTTATTTTCATCTTTAGCGTCTGTAATTGTTTCTCATGGGGATGTTCTGTTATTTGTGTCATTCACAAAGACTAGTCTTTCATTTTTTTGCCAAATCTTGTTTACAAGAAAGGGTATTTCCAAAACCTTAGGGCTAAACAGCAACTGTTGCCCTTTGTAGTAATGTGTGCTGCTTAAGTATTTGACTTTTTTATTTGTTTACTTTAGTGGTTTACAAGAATAATATTGCACCACTGCTCAACTACAGTGAGTGGATGCATTTAAGAAGTAAATGTAGGGGAAAAAAAAGAACAAAATCATGTACATTTTTGAATAGGGTTGTAACGGTATGAATTTTTCACGGTATGATAATCGTCTAAAACAATACCACGGTTTGACGGTTTCGCGGTATACGGTATGTTACAAATGTTACAAAATAATAGAACAGTGAAGCAAATTTGACTTTTTCCAAATAATATATTTTTAGTTACTATAAACAACACAACTTACAATGAACAAATAAAAATAAGAAAATAATAAATAATGTGTCAAAGTCCAAATAAAGTCCAAATAAACATGGTGCAAATCCTCAGTAAAAAATAGATATAAATATTTACTATACTATAAATAGTTACATAACGAAACTAGATTCAATATGGAACATCCTTAGGTTTTATGTGCCAGCATGGATATGGTTGTCTGTGGATTTGGATATGGTTGTCTGCAATGCAGACAAACAGCTGCACCTTCATTTGCGTCTTTTGAAAACAGCAAGAGCAGCAGTTCGTCTTTGCTGTGTCACTGTTTTGTCATGTTTCTGTGCTGCTGTGCATGAAAAAGTATTATTTCATGCAAAAAGAATTATTTCATGCAAAACTTTTTTTTTTTGTGTTTTTTTTAGCCGCGCATAAATGTATGCCTATCTCTCATTCCGTGTTGTTCAAAAAGCTCGTTTTTGGTCCACAAACAAAAGCGAAACCTATGCTTATTGGTTGTGATATAGCGAGTTTGAACCAATCTGGGCATGGAGGAGGGACAATGCATCAATGTATCATGTCTGATTTGTCCGGAGACACAGTGACGAGCATTTCTTTGTCAAATCAGCGTTGTCAAATGTTGATGACGTAACCGCACTGATTCCGGAGCCTCTGAAAGTCCGCAAATGTTATGTGATACAGCACTGGAAAGCTGAGATTCTCTTCTTTATGCCAATCTTTGAATTGTATGTATCGGATCAGCGGATCAAAAGTTATTAAACATTTAAGAGCAATACTTATTTTTAGCCGCGGGTGGCTGTCTCGGTCTTTAAGGGTTAAAACCGTTGATATGCAGTTGTTCATGGTATGATAATCGTGCACGTTCAAATCGTGGTAAACCGTCATACCGGTATATTGTTACAACCCTATTTTTGAAATGGGCCAATTATATATGGGTTGTAACATATAGTGTTTGGTTTAAATACTGTAACAACTTAGTTTGTGTACTTATTCTTACTATCACCATTAGCTCATTACCTGTCTATTTTCAAGATATTGTCTGTTTATTTGTAGCTAATAAGTAAATATTTTTATTATACCTTCCTAATCCTACCAAATACCCTAACATAACTACTACTTCAAAGGAATAGTTCACCCAAAAATGAAATTTGTCATATTTGACTCACTGTTTACTTGTTTCTAACCTGTTTGACTTTCTTTTTGTATATATTTTTTTCTGTTGAACACATGAAGATATTTTGAAGAAAACTGAAAACCTGTAACCATTGACTTCTGCAGTAGGACATACTATGGAAGTCAATTGTTTCAGGTTTTTTTTTTAAATATCTTCTTTTATGATCAACAGAAGAAAGAAACTCATGTAAATGAGTAAATGGTAAGTACATTTTAGTTTTTGAGTGAACTATACCTTTAATAACTATTAATAAGCAGCTTATTAGGAGTTTATTAAGCTAAAAGTATTAGTTAATAGCAAGAATTGGACATTTAAACTAAGTGTGGCCTTACATTTTTTTAATTGGGTTGTAAAATATATTTATTTTTATAAATCAGGGTTTGTAAAACATTAAATTAAACCAATCAAACAAGAAGTCATGGTCAGATGTTTACCCTTAATTAAGAACTAGTGTTAATATGTTTAATTCTTAAAACAATGCCCATCTTTTTGGTAGAGTAAATAGAAAGCAAAAAGATTTCCAATTTTATTTTTGTTAAATATTATAATTTATTAACCGGTATAATAATAAATGTAATAAATGAGTAATAAATGACAGTGCTAAGCAAACTGTGATAAAGTAAAGGCATAATAGTTAGTGAGTCAGACTTGTAACCTGAACTCTCCGGGCGGGATTGTAAGTGGGGGGAGGTAATATCTAGCACTTCTTTCCACCCTGAATACCACAACTGAGGTGAAACCCTTAAGCTAGGCACCAAAAACCCCCAACTGCTTCTTGGATGCCGCAGCAACATAGTTGCTCACTGCTGAGGGTGTGTGTTCATGGTTTGTGTGTGTTCACAGATGTGTCCACACGTCACTTCACTTTACTTCAACATTTTTAGCAAGTGTCACCATAAAAACGTTTAGAATGTTTATCATTTTCTAATGCTAAAAAAACTTTTATGATTTGTGTTCATTTGTATGTTGTTTTTAATTGTATTTTTATTAATAAATGTTCTTTCTATGAAAACAGCATTTGTTGCTGACATGGCTTTAAATAAAAAATCTTCATCATCACTTGACAAGCGATGCACTAGCTCTATTCATGTTATCTAATTATAAAAACACAAAAAAAACGACATATTCTTTTTATCAGTAATGATGTAAAATATTTACATATGTCTTAATGTCAATTATAGATTTTATTTTGTTCAGTTGTTAATAATTAAATGATTTCTTACTATTTTCGCATATTTTCATTCTATTGTATTTTTTCTACACTATTTATTTCAATAAATTTGTTACTAGTATATAAAAAAGTGAATTCAAGAATTTATTTGTCACATGGCTAACAGTCCTGCTCATGACATCAAATTTAAGTCAGTAGTGACAATAAACATTTTTGGTAGTAACAGTAAGCGTGGATGGGTGTTGCGGTGCCGCAGTTGGTAGCAATGTTGCCTCCTAGCTAGAAGGTCACTGGTTTGAGTTCCAGCTCAGTCAGTTGGCATTTCTGTGTGGAGTTTGCATGTTCTCCCAGAGTTTGCATGGTTGTCCTCCAAGTGCTCTGATTTTCCCAACAAGTCCAAAAAGACATTCTCTATAGGTGAATTGGGTAAGTTAAACTTTTTTCCAGTGATGGGTTGCAGCTAGAAGGGTATCTGCATCGTAAAACATGTGCTGGAAAAGTTAGCAGTTTGCTCTGCTTTGGTGACCCCTGATTAATAGAGGGACTAAGTCGAAAAGAGAATGAACGAATGAATGAATAAGTATAGACAAATGCAAAGTTCTAAATGTCAAAGTTTGATTCTACCACAATTCAGATGTACAATGACAGATATTTTTGTCCATAGTGACATTTTTTTTTCTATTTAGTACATTTAATGGCTAACTTATTAGCCCTCATGCGAAATTTAAAGACTTCTCCATAGTCCTCTTTAACTGAGATTTTTCAATAGATTTTGCAAAGTTTTTCAAGATGTTAGTCTGGAGTTATTAAAGTTATAAGTGTTATTTAAAGGTCTAACTAGGTTAATAAGTTTAACTAGGCAAGTGAGTAGACAACAGCTGTTTTTAAAGCCAATCAAATAAACAATTATTTCTTAAGAGGGCTAATACAATTGACCTTACAAATTATTTTAACAAAATGCTTTTATTTTAGCCAAACTAAATGAATGAAAATATCGGAAATACTGTGAAAGAGGCCTTGCTCTTTTAAACATAATTTGGGAAATATCTGAAAACAAATGAAAACTTCACAGAAGGTGTATTATTTTGCCTTCAGTGGTACGTTTTAAATAATAATAACAATAATATACACTGCCTGATAAAAGTCTTGTTTCCTATCCAAGTTTTAGGAACAATAAATAATAACTTGACTTCTAGTTGATCAGTTTGGTATCAGAAGTGGTTAATATAAAAGGCTACGCTTATTTTACCTAGTAAAATATGATCTTTCCTTGATTTTAAATTATTTAATTAGGACAGTAAGGTCTGACTTTGTTTTGTTTAGACAAATGTCTTGTCACTTAACAGAAATAATGTACACTATAGAATATAAAGTCATGATGAACTGGAGAAGGAATATATATTGTGTATGACTCCCATGAACTTGAAGGACTGCATCCATCTCTGCAATGACTCAAATAGCTTATAATAAAGTAATCTGGAATGGTAAATAAAGCGTTCTTGCTGGACTTCCAGAGTTCAAGATTATTTGGATCAATCTTCAATGCCTCCTCCTTCATCTTCACCCAGACATGCTCAATAATGTTCATGTCTGGTGACTTGGCTGGCCAATCTTGCAGCACCTTCGCTTTCAGTAACTTTGATGTGAAGGCTGAAGTATGAAAAGGAGCGCTATCCTGCTGAAGAATTTGCCCTCTCCTGTGGTTTGTAACTCTGCAGATCTCTTGAATTCTTTATTGCCCCATACTGAATGTAACCCCAAACCATGATTTTTCCTTCACTAATCTCTACTGATTTCTATGAGAATCTTGGGTCCATCCGTGTTCCAATAGGTCTTCAGTATTTGTGATTATTGGGATGCAGTTCAACAGATGATTCATCTGAAAAATCTACCTTCTGCCACTTTTTTTCAAATGATCAACTAGAAGTCAAGTTATTATTTGTTGCTCTTACAATTGATACCGTCCACAACACTTTAGTCAGGTAGTGTAAGCCAGTTTGTTTACTGATAATCATGTAATTGATCTTGAGAGCGGTACTTTCTCAGGAGTTTCACAGCTGAGGTTGTATGTAATTTTTTTTTTTATTCTCACAAAACAGTTACTGTCTGAATAGAACTTCGATTGCACATACAAGAGCCAGTCTTATGAAAACTTCATGTATTCCCACAATTTCATAAGACATTAAAGTTATGCCTCCAAAATGTTTTGCAGATGTATGACTACAGTCTGGACATGTGGAGCTTAGGCTGTATGTTAGCCAGTATGATCTTTCAGAAAGAGCCATTTTTCCATGGGCAAGACAATTATGACCAGGTATGACTTCAATTATTTGTCAGTAAAGAAAGTATGAAGTTTTAAAATGTTCCGGATGCTGACCAGATGAATTTTTGCAACAGCTGGTCAGAATCGCCAAGGTTCTTGGAACCGAAGAGCTGTTTAGCTACCTGAACAAGTATCACATTGAGCTGGACACACGCTTCAAAGATCTTCTCGGCCAGTGAGTCCTTCATCATTCACGTTTGTCATTTGTTGAAGATCTGTGTACAGAGCTGTTTTTGATGCACATATCGAGTTTGTAATGATCAGTTCTGCTTCAGAAACAAAAACATCTAGATTTTGACATGCAAGTAAAATCAGGAAACAAAACCTTGTGGTCTGTTATGGGAATATTCTGTATGGTCCTATTAGTTGTGTGGAAAATGACATCTATAAACTGACTTGAAATAGTTACATGGTTTTAATTTTTGAATTGGCAAACCTCTTCAGGCAGACACGCAAACGCTGGGAGAACTTTGTTCTGCCGGAGAATCAGCACCTGGTGAGTCCAGAAGCTCTGGATCTGCTGGATAAACTGCTGCGTTACGATCATCAGCAGAGACTGACTGCTCAAGAGGCCATGGAACACCCTTACTTCTGTGAGAGCACTGTCTTTCTCTACTTCTCTACTTTATTTAGATCTTATTACAGGATTAATTGACCCTGAAAAATGTAAATTCTGTTATTAGTTACTCTTGTGTCATTTCAATCCCCTGAAACCTTTGTGTGTCTTTTAAACACAATTGACGACACTTTAAATGAAATCAGAGAGATTTCTCATCCTTTATAAACCGCAACAGTCATGAGATGTTCTCAATTCATTTTCTGGATTTTTTTAAGTATTGTGCTGAACCATTCTATGATCAGTCAAGTATGGTATTTAGGTAAGCTTGGAACGGCACAATCACAAATTGGGCTCGCCTTAAACCGTGCCAAACTATTGCCTGGCTGGCAGTTTTTCCATAGCTTGGAAGCACAATATTTATTTATTCATTGCTGTACCACAAAGTAAATAGTCCCAAAACACTTTTCCAAGATCATGCCAAAACATTCCAAGATCAGTCAGGTATGGTTCTATTTGTTTCCAAGTAAGCCTGGCTAGGCGGAAGTTGCTATTTATTTATTTATTGATTGATTTATTTTTTACTGTTATTCAACAAAATATCAGTAAATGGCATCCCAAAAAGAGAAATATCTCATCATCATCCATGTTATTTGTTGCATTTGCATAACCATCGCAACAACTGGCCCATTTGTATTGCATTCCAAAATGTTCTGTTATCTGCACCACAGTGGAAAATAAAACCGTTTCTGTGCTGACTGGCCTGGATTAGCATGAAACGGAATGGTTGTGCAAACTTAACCATTTGTCCTGAAGGTGGAAAAGCCATCATCCATATCAATGTTTACATTAGACTTGCGTTACCACAAATGGCACAATTGCATTACATTGCAAAAAGCTCTGTTATACATGTACCCCGCCAGTCCTAGCTGGGATTGAACCAGCGACCTTCCACATGGGAGTCGGTTGCTCTAACAAGGAGGCTAAAGACCATGGCCCCTAGCGTCTGTCGCTAGAGCACCTTTAGTGGTCAGAGGAGTGGGGTTTACCTGCACAGCACTTCACTAGCTGGCCTCCATTATAATCACCCACCTAACCCGCACTCCCATCCAGGGTTTTGGCACAAATGTAACCCAGCCGGTTCTACTGCACCCAACCCGCTCTGAGCTGGGATTGTACAGATGACCTGGGAGTCGGTTGCTCTAACAAGGAGGCTTAGGATCCGTTTACACTAATGCGTTTTCGTTTTAAAACTCATAAGTTTTGCTACGGTTACGCCATCCATCCACACTACGCCAGAGTTTTCGAGTGCCGAAAATGGGAGCGTTTTGGAAACGCTGAAGAGGACGTTTTCATTCTAAAACACTGCTGCACCGTCGTAGTGTGGATGGGGGAAAACAGAGACATGTGAAAATGGAGGCATGGCTGCAGACATTCACCTCTCTGAATGGGGCTTTTCCTCAATATTAAGTAGCCTAACACACACAGTTCAGTCTCGCATCTTCTCCTTGTAAGTTCAGACTTCGCAAGTTTGATATGGAAAACTAACTCACGAGGACATGTCCGGTAAATCTTCAAAGGGAACAGTGTTCCTAATAACCTCATTCACATAGGGTGTTCTTAATAACCTCATTCACCCTGGCTTCGTCGTTTAACTTTCTCAACAATGAAATGATTTAAGGAACTGCCTATTTTCTTTTTTATATTAACAACTCAACATACTGCATCGTGATGCATATATGAGCGTCATTTTCACTTTATGTATAACAAGACGGGGGCCTATAACATAACTGCCTCCTTTCATTTTCATTGAAAATATGAAACATACCCTCTCTTTTGCTGAATATCAATTTTAATAATCAATAACGGCCATTATAAAAGTATAACGTACAATAAGTTTATACATTTTTAGGAAATAAAAACAATCAGTCAATATAGAGAATGTAGGTGGTTACATTAATTATTAAACTATTGCGCTCAGCCAAAACACGTTACCTGAGAACAAGTCAGAGATTCAAAAGACCAAAGTCTAGGAATATGTGGTTAGATAAAGACAACAAGATGAATGAAATATCACGTTTAACAAATATAGTAAGATTTAATCAGCAGGAGATGCTTGATGAGCAGTCCGACGAGCAAAGCTCTTGTCTCGGTAGATATGCTGCAGCGCATGCCAGAGTGTGTGTGTGTGGTTAAGTGATGTGTGTTTTCAACGTTTGGCTGTCCAGAAACGCTAGTGTGGACTCAGATAGTTTCCATTCTAAAACGCCTTTTTAAAACTAAAACCCACTAGTGTAAACGGGGCCTAAAGACCATGGCCCCTAACGACTATATTTTGTCTTCGCCTGCACAGCACTTCACTAGCAGGCCTCAGTTACATACAACTCAGTGGAAAAAGCATCTCTTTTTTTTGTGCTAACTGGACTTCTTCTGCATGGAATGGAATGGTTATTCAGATAGAATGGTTCAATAGTTGAAAAAAGGCTATTGCCAAAACATTTCTTGTGAGAAAAAGAACTTTGAGACTGCTATGCTGAATTAACCTCTTTTTTTGAGATCTTCAAAGTACAACACAGTACCTTGTATTCAGTGTAAACCCAATGAACCCTGAACATTCTTAAACTCAATCCTTTTATACAGTTTTACTTTCCTTCCCTTAATGTTAATGAAGTTGCTTGTTTGCTGCCGTCACAGCTGTGCTCTGTATGGTAATGAAGTTTCGACACCCCAGTGTTCCACACCCATCACCATTTAAACTTGGTCACCATTTGCTTAAGATGAGATCCTCCTAAATATTGCTGACACAACAAAACGGTTGACTTTTATCTTCTCTATAATGATTAAGCATCAACACACAATTTGGAGTGGAAGTTGTGTCAGGAAGATTAATTTCTTAGAGAAGCAAGAGTTTGGTTACTTGTATCTCTTCTCCTGCATCAGGTCAGGGTGTGAGTTTGCTATGGGCAGTGGTCCCTAATGTTGAACCATTGTCGAAACTTGCCATTTTTAACCAGCCAAAGTGGCTAGTGGGAATGCAGGTAGATTTGGCAGGTGTTAATGTCAAGCATTGGATACTAGCATATTGCTATTTTTTATTTTTATTTATTTTTTAATTTCTTCCTAAATAAAACTGAAAAATACTCTTAATAATATATATTTTAAAATAAACTGTTGTTTAATAACCCATATTCTGTAGATCCTGTGTTGAAGGGACAGCCTCTGTCAAACTCAGAAGGCGCACTGGCAATAAGCAGCTCAACCACAACATGATGGGCTAAAAGCAGGTAAGAGCGACTCAACCTGAACTTACCCCTCCAAAAAAAAAAAAAATCATCGATTCATTTTGAAATCTTTGTCTTTTAGGAAAACCTTTTTACCTCAACGTGTCGTGCAGAGACATGCTGCCTTTCAGGTGTGAAGCTTCAGTTTACTGGAGAAAGAAGTTATTAAGCAACACAAGACTTGTACAGAATGAACACAACGGGCTGTAGTCCCTCTCCTACATTCACTTTGTATTAGTGCTGCTTGCCATTGTTATCTAGGTACCAAACTGGTGTTTTCTCCTCCCTCCACCCATTTCTCTCTCTCTCTCTTTCTCTCCCTTTGAGTTGGTCATCTCCATTTCGTTTTTTGGAACAACACTGAATTAAGCTATGATATTAAGGCTGGGAAAGAATGCCTGCTCTTTCCTCAATGATTCTCAGGCTGTTGATGGCTGACGGGGCTCCTCATCCTGGTTGCATTATGTACTGGAAGATTGTGTTGTTCAATGACTTGCCCTGCTGATATGAGCTCAGATTATAAACTATAGTATTGTCAGGTATGGAGGCTTTACTGCAATTTATTGAAAATAAGATATATTAAATCAAACCGTTTTTAATTCTGCCTGATCTGTTCCTTTTTTTTATTTTTTAATTGGATGTTACACTGTGGTGCTGTTGAATGCATGATTCTGATAGGTTGATCAGTGTTTTAAAGTGTGCAATTCATACCTGCCAACACTCCTGTTTTTTCCCAGGAGTCTCCTGTATTTCAGATCCATCTCCCGTTTTGTTCTGTCTCTCGGAAAACTCCTGGAATTTCACCCTCCCCCATCAGCTATTTGGTACAGTCCCTGGATCGCTGACCTTGGTAGTACAGACCAGGATCCCAAAACCCCACCCCCCGGCTCTTTAGTTTGTTACTCGCACTCCTCCCCCCTAAGCTTTACTGTTTGCGAAATACCCCTCTCGTATCCCGTGGTTTGGTCTCCCTGATTTCAAAAGACAAATGTTGTCAGGTATGGTGCCATTAATTTCAGAGAATCCCACAATTAAAGTAGTTTCTGGCAGGTCTTGACCACATTACAGTTCCATATTATTACGCAGTATTTCAGTTATTTCAAACATCCATTCAGCCTACAAGAGCAGAATATCCATAACTTACAAAGACACTGTAATGCATGAGTTGTCTGTTTAGGAAGGCAGTAATGGCACTTTTATTTAAGCAGATGTCTCACTGACAGCCCAAATTTAAGCTGTGGTCACACTAGATTTTGTGTGTGCGAAATTCTGTTGCATGGCACTGTGATAAGGGGCAGGATTAAACAAGATAAATTAGACATTTAAAAAAAGAGTGTGTGATTGGTCCATGTTTTACATTTCTGTCCTGAGAGGTCATGTTTTGATCCTCGATTGGTCTCACGCAATCATGTGATTCAATATTGCAGGTGAGAGTTCACTAAGCTTGAACTTCTTAACGCAGTGAACTGCGAAACTTGTCGCATGAGCTTTCATTTTCGGTTTGACGCATTCGTGTGCGTGTTTATAAATGGAAGTCGATGGGAAGAAAAGTGCAGTGTGACCGCAGCCTTAGCCTTGTTTTAGCTGTCTAAGAATAGCCCAAAACTAGACTATGTCATCAAATGCACAGGAATAAATACACTCATAGGCCACTTTATTTGGTACAACTGTCCCACTGCTCGTTAACACAAATTTCTAATCAGGCAATCACATGGCAGTAACTCAATGCATTTAGGCATGCAGACATGATCAAGAAGATCTGCTGCAGTTCAAACCGAGCATCAGAATGGTGAAGAAAGGTAATTTTAAAGGAAAAAGCAATGGCAAAAGCACACAAGAAGAGAAACTTCACAGAATGTGAATTGGAGGTGCTCCTATCGGAGGTAGACTGGAGAAAAACTGTGTTATTTGCAAATTTGTCCTCCGGAATTAATAAAAAAGGAAAAAAAAATAGAGTGGGAGAGTTTATCTGACGCGGTTAATGCAGTAAGGTCTGAACATGGCACTGTGAACGAATTAAAAAATAAATGGTCTGATGTAAAGGTGCAGGTTAAGAGGAGAACAGCAGTGCACCGTCAAAGTATGGACCAAACAGGCGGGGGAACAGGGGACGCTGAACTAACACCCTTTGAGGAGAGAGTTGTCTCAACTGCAGGTGACACTTTACTGTCGGGAGTAGTATCAGTGTCTGTGGGAGACACAGATGTATTAGAGGAGCACTTTGTTAGGACGGTATAGCAGCACCCCTCCGCTCTCAAGGCAGCGCCACCAGCATTTCAGCTGCCCAATTGCCTGCTCTACTGACCGAGTGCGAGGATGGGCATCATTGTATCTGCGCTCTTGGTCAGTTTTTAGTTTGTTGAGGGGGTTTACAGCCACGTCTTTAATGGAGAAACATGGTCTCCTGATATGAAGTTAAATAATTACGCTCAATAAAATAAATAAAAAAAACTCAGTTGGAATAACATCTTTTAATACAACAAGAAGCCACCCATTGTGCTCCCTGACACCTTGGATCCTCATCCTAATCATGCTGTTTGTGAGAATGAATTAATCGTGGGTTGATTAAGGCCACCTGGCCACAATATTAATTAAGCGCATTTGAGCAAACCATATTATTTGCACATTCATTGAATGAAAATGTTTCCGATTCACTTTTGCAAATTCGTCTTCAGATGGCACTCTTATAGCAATGTGCGTGCAGTCGATCGCTCTGATTACATTCGGAAAGCCGGCGATCGCTCAAATTGCGCTTTAATGTTTGGCTGGTCAACTGTATGGTATGGAAACCTTATATAGCTGCTAGACATGCGGATAATCCCATCCCATACAGCTGCCATAGAACGGCTCAAAGGCGACTGGCTTAATCCCAAGCGGTCTGCCAGTTCCCTTTGGGAAGAACCAGTTGCCAGGACACTTTGTTGGTGCGATACTTTGTAGTGTGCAATTTATCTTAATTGCCTCTAGAAGTCCCCATTGAAAATAAAACAAACACACACAAGAAATGCACGTACGCCAGATATGAAGTTGGCACGGACCAATGCACATTCTCACGTTAATTTCATCATTAGTAAATCCAAACGTGAGCGTGAAAATGTGTACGCAAAGTGTGTATGCAACGTTGATACATGAGGCACCAGCTGATTGGTGGAGAGGAGACAGTGATGAAGCCAATTATGATATGGGGGAGGTTTGGAGGACATGATGGACAGAGGCTAGTGGGCAAATTTGGCCTACTATTTTTTATTTTTTTGAAGGACATCCTTGGATTTTTTACGACCATATAGAGTCAGGACTTTAGTTTAATGTCTCATCAAAAAGACAGCACTCACTGAGCAGAATAGAGTCCGCATCAATATACTGGGATGACCCACATAAACTGAAGGTTGAGCGCTCCCTGCTACTCTCACCAACACCGTTTCCGGCAGCAACCAAGCTTTTCCATGTGGTCTCCCATCCATACTAAACTATATCTACATCTGTATAGTATGTGTATTAATTAAAGTTATCAATAGTTTTTTAATAACACTTAAACAAGAAAGCTGTGTAAATTTTTTCCCCAAATGATAGCTTCTTGTAATGTTACCAAATTATATAAGTTTGTATATTAAATGATTCTACTTGTATGAAATGTGCAGTATTTAATGAATGGATTGTTCATTCAAACACTATTAAGATTTAGTATACGATGATGTGTTTCAATGAAATTCACCAGTCATAGACTTGAACACAGGGACATAGTGTACAATTTAATTAGATAACTGCAACGTGAAATGTGCAATATTCGTGCAATACTGACAGTGGTAATAAATACAAATGGATATGTAATTTCAAGCATATAACATGTAGCTATGACATGACACATGAGTTTTGAACCCAAATAAGGCACATCCACATGACCTCCCATTGTTTTTTTTCTTCCTGAGTCCGTCACAAACTTCATATACACAGTGAGGAAGCTGGACTGCTTTAAACAGGTACGAAAGGCAGAGGATGCAGTGGCAGCTCTCTTCTAAAGGTGCCACATCACATTAGCATGGCTAATCAAGACACCAAGGGTGCTCACTGAAGAACAATGATTATCAACCGAAATACTGTTAGCCATTGACATCTATAGAAGAAAAAATAATAGTATGGATGTCAACGGTTTCCAACATTCTTCAAAATATCTCTACTTTAAAGTGCCACTATTATGGGTTTTCCAAAATTACATTTCATGCTGTGTAACACAGCTCTAAGTGCATGAAAACATCCATCTGAGGTATAAATCTAATAGTGCACCGTATATAAAGTTCTTGACCCAAGAACAAAGAGTTGACAGAGTTGTTAATATGAATCGTCATTTCATATGGAAGCCTGTTCCCGCTACTGAATAATAATAAAAAAAAAGAGTTATTTTCACATTTTAAGTCAGTATTCTGAGATATGAAGTCAGATTTCTGAATTCTTTGGACTTTATTTCCCAGAATTTACACTTTTTTTTTTTAATAAAAGAATTCAGACTTAAAAGTCACAATAACCTTTTTATTCTTATTATTCAGTAGCGAAAGAGCTTTCATAATTTCTCATGACGTCTGAACAAAACACTGCCTGCTCACTTCTCGCACATTCAGACTCAGGAAATCTTTAACCCCTCTCCCTCAAACCATTATTGTCACACAAAGGAGGAGTTTGGAAAATTAATCGGCAAACAAATCATATAGGAGTTGTTGGGACAATAAGGTAAAAATAAGTGTATTTTATACTACGGTGAAAGTGTTTTTTGACCTTTCATGCATATCAGCCTGTTGTTAGGGATACCCTAGATCAAAATATGAATATTTTATAACCCACAATAGGGGCACTTTAAGTACTATTTCATAAGCTCTGATGGGGAAATTAAGGCAAATTTTATTCTTAGTGTTTTTATTCTCAGTGAACGTTTTGCTGAGCTCAATCAGCCTTGGTGTCTTTTTGCATTGCTTGCTATACTAAGTAGAAGAAAAAAAGCCTACCGTGTATAAAGCTAATACCACAGACATTCAGTGCTTAACATGAATACAGGAAGAAAACAAAGAATAAATAAAATAAATAATAGCAAAAACAAAACTTTTAAGAACCTAACAGAAAACGCTTAATGAAGTGCTCAGATTTTCATATAAACACTGCCTGGGTGGATTATTTGATTCAGTGCTCGTGTTGTTCTGCCTGTGTGATATCGATAACTAGCAAGATAGCAGTGTGTGCCCATTACAGTACAGGTGCAGTTAAAATGCTACGTGACCATTTTTCAGCTTCTCATGAGTATGAGGCGTTCGGAATGGAATACTAGAGTACTTCCTTGTAGTATGTTAAAAAACAGTATGCAAAGTATATTGCATGTTTTAAAAAAGCACATCCAATGGCCAACAAATATTTGGCATTCCCATTTAGTTCTGGATCAATCAAAAGAAAAAAAGCACTATTTCAGTTCAGCACTGGAAAGAGAAGATCAAGTTTTCTCATTGCATTACAGTATTTAGCACAGTACTGTGATTGTATATTGCACAATTTGGCTTGTTGTACTACACCATGTATTATGAAATTTAGCATGTCAGTAAATGGTATACTACAAATCTAGTATTAGTATGGTAGTATGCTATTCCGAACATACCTTACATATGTGAGAATCCAAAAACAAACATGTCTGTCATGCCTGAGAGTCATATGGTTTTACAAAACAGACAATCATTGTATTTGTAAACAGACTTGCCGAGTAATATGGCACTTGATGTAGCAAACTACTACATCAGTCATGCTGTATTTAATACTTTTACATATTTCCTTAACTGATCATCATGGATCATGCCTTCGATAAATAAAAAAATAAAAATAAAACCCAAGATAAAATCAACTTGATGTTTTAAAAACCTTAGCTTTGCAGAGACCGTTGTGTTTTTGGCCTGGGTAAAATTATATATTAAAAGGGCTTTTTTTTTTTTTTTGCAACAATGATGGTTTGTAAATGAAAGCCTAACACTAAAATCTTCATGGTATGAGCTCTCGAAGCTCTGCGTCACTCAGTTCATTCACTGTGACTATGTGGTCGAGGTGTTGAAGGTACCGTTCCTCATCCTGCATGAAGTGAGGGATCCTAGTTCCATGTAGAACAGCTGAATGCCGAAGTCTCTCCACGTCTTCATAAGAAACCTGAAAACAGCCATCGCAGAAAGTGTCACATACATACACTCTTAAAAGCCATGGTTCATTAAATAATCGGCAAATTTGAAAATGGAAATTCTGTTATTAATAACTAGGCCCACACGTATGCTGCGCGCAGAATTCCGCAGATTTTTAGCCCATTATTAATTTTGTTTGTTTACTTGAGTAAATGCGTAAATCTGAATTTATTCAGTTTTTATTTAGTAATTTATTACTTTTTATTTAATATATTAAGGTTTTAGTTATGATACTGGATACTCCCAAAATAATTCCACAGAAATCCACAGATTTTTACCAAAATTCTCCACAGAAATAGCAAAAAACGTCCGCAGATTCCGTCTAGCCCTGTTAATAACTCACCGTCAAGTCGTTCCAGTCCACTAAAATGCATGTTTACTCAAATTAATATATTTAAGATGAAATCTGAAAGCTCTCTGAGCTTCTATAAAAAGAAATAGTCCTGAGATGTTCAAAGTCTATGTGATTTCAGTGGTTTAATAGAAAAATTATCAAGCTATACAAATCCTTTTTTGTGCACATAACATCATAGAGCCCCTAATATGGGTTTTTGAAAATGACTTTCCATACCAAGTATAACACAGCACTAGGTGAATGAAAACATCCAGCTGAGGTATAAATTTGAAGGTGCATCGTGTTTAAAACTATTAATTCTTTACGTCGACTCAGAGTCGAATAAATGAATCATGTTGGGATCTTTGCCTGAACGTGTCAATGTTAATACAATACATCACCAAATCTGTAGTGCCAGTTCTGGTAAATCGTGACACTGGCAGAGCACGGGGATCACGGGACAGATCATGACAGGAAGATGATGATCCCTGACAAATGGAAATTCGGCTGCCGGGGAATAAAGGATTAAAGTTTATTTTCATAACAATACCACAGTATAGCCAACCTAGTGCTGTGTTTGTTCTTGTCATTCTTCTGATGACTGCTATTAAAGGAAGGAGCAGCAGAAACTATTATGTATTGGACTTTATCAGTAACTGTTGCAATTCACATGGACCAGTTTCTTCTTCCTCCCGATCATAACATGTAAGTGTCATTAAAATTGTTGCCTAGCTTTCTGTAGTTTGCAAAATATGTGTTTAATTGTGTGTTTTAACTTGTAATCGCTTCATGTAGCTTGTAATCACTTATCTATTATTGTGTCCAAATCAACGTTGAAAACGTGATGCGCGCTTCTTCTTTTTTCGATTTAAATGCGTTTCTGAACTCGCAATCCTCTGCCGTTTGTCTTTGCTATGGCCACCATCAGGTGTTCCTACACACGCATGGCGCGGTCAATTTACTTAATTGTTCAGCTTTTGCTACTGCATAGATTAATACTTAATGTATGTTGTTATTAATTCAAGTTAGGGTTAAGAGTAGAGTAATTTGCTGGTGTTTAACTGCATTGCTTTATTGCATTCCTGCATTGGGCTTTCACATACACTGTGCTACTTCATACTGTCGCTGTAGTGGGCATTTCTCTCCATCTCGCGCTAAACCCAGTCAACCAATCACAACAGACTGAGTCATTGGACAAATCACAGCAGATTAGCCTTACACAAAGGAGGGGTTTGGCAACAAATGAATTGCTGAATTGGAGTCTTTGGGATAATTAGGTAAAAATAAAGGCATATTATAAGACAATGAAAGTGCTGTTTGACCTTGGATGCATATCAGCCTGTTGTTGGAGACCCCCAAAACCAAAATATGACCTTCTATACTACATAATAGCGGCTCTTTAAAATAATGACTTTAGTTTTCTAATTCTTCTAAACAAAGCACAGGCACAACCAAAGTAATAAGTCAGAGGTGCAACATGAATGTGCGCAAAATTCACAGAGGAGAGGAAACTGTTAAATAAAGTCGTTATTTTTGTTTCATGTACGCAGAAAATGATTCTCGTTGCTTGATAATTAATATTTTTGTGTGTGAAAAAAAGTTAATTAATCACAATTGATTTTGTTTGATGTCTTATCTTCTGCATCAGATCAGGGCACTTGTTCAGTTAAACCACTGAAGTCACATTTAATGCTCTGACAATGTTTTGGGTCCTTTTCCAGACTTTATTTATCGTTGCTGTCTATGGAAGATGAGAGAGTTCTCAGATTTCATCTCAAATATCTCAATTTGGCTTTAAAATATAACAAAGGATCTCAAAGGATAGAAATAACATGAGTGTGAGTAATTGACAACAGAATAAAATTTTTGGGGTGAAACAATCCTTTATATCAGCTAGCATTAATAGAACCTGCCTTGCCAAGAGCAGTTAATATTTTGAAATCAATGTTCCTCCTGTGGCGTAAAATCCTTAAAATCCCATCAAGGTAGACTTGATCCTTACTGAAGCAACCTGTAGACACACATTTGCAAAAAAAAAAAAAAACATTACAGTGTCAATATGAACAACCAAAAAATAATGTTTGAACGTTTTCTGTAGTGTTATCTAACAAGTTGACATGGTTAGTTGCTTTGTGAAAACTAACAATTATTTTATTATACTGTAGCTGTGATTCAATAACCATGATTATTTGGCATATTGATTACTGTCTGTATATATCTATGGATTTACTGCAAATACCACAGCTAAAATGGGGTTAGTGCAGTAAATTGTTAGTTACCATGGGATTATTAAAGCTGTAGTTGATTTTTATAGAGAAATGCTAACCATGTTGTAAGCATGTTACTAACATGTTTTAAAATTCCTAGCATTTTTTACATCTTTGCTAACAAACAGATATTATGTTGTAATAAGTTGATACCACGCTGCAATGTTAACATATTGTATTTTACTTAGTGGCAGACCATTATCGGCGTTAACGTAAGACTCTTATCGCGCAATAAAAAATATCGACAAAAAATCGATATCGCAAAAAGTATTACATGACGGTAACAATTTTTTACTTTAATAATGCCACTAATATATGCATACTGCACATGTCCTAATTCCATTTCTGTTTAGTTCAGTTATTACTTTAGTCGGATTAAGGTGGTCAAAAATCGCTGTTTCGAGCTCATGTAGACCTACAGGTTAAAATTCATTCTTAACTGAATAAAAGGTCAGTAAAAATAAGTACATCTTATTGAACATCATTTATTTTCATCACCAATTATCATAGTAGAACAGTTTCTCAAGCAGTTTGTAATGCATTTTGGAAACAGGAGATGAGCCCCTGGTCTAATGCGCCACCTGGCTTGAGAAACCCGTTCTCATTATTTAAGTAGCACACATATTCTGAATGCCTTTGGCAGAATTTAAATGAGCCATTTTAATCTAGATTAATCTAGATTAATTCCAAGATTACAAAGAGATTAGTCTAGATTAAAAAAAATTATATTTGCCCACCTACAATTTTATTAAAAGGTTTTAATGTAATTAAAGTTAATTAATTATATTTTGTTGCGTTTTTTGTTTATAGTTCAAGCTGGTTTGTAACATTTTATACTCATTACTAATGCACAGCATGTTGCTAACATGTTTGTTTGTTTCATTTTGCCAGCATACTACAGAGAAGGTGTGTCTGAATTAGCTCTTAAGTTATTAGTTGATACTAGATTTGTTACTTAGACAGATAGATTAGAGTTAGAAATTGTAGGTTAACAGTTTTAACATTACTAGCATATTTCACTTCTTTGCTAACACACAGGTAGCATGTTTCAATACCCTGCTGAAAAACCCAGCCTAAACCAGCCTAGGCTGGTCAACCAGCTAAAACCAGCCAACCAGCCTAGGCTGGTTTAAGCTGGATTTTTCAGCAGGGTATACATGTTTTTTAACAAAATATTAACATGTTTTATCATTACTAGCATGTTTTACTACTTTGCTAACACAGAGATAGACAGTTTTAACGTTACTAGCATATTTTACTACTTTCCTAACACACAAGTAGCATGTTTTAATACGCTAACATTCTTTAAATTTTAACAAAGCATTAACGTTTTATCATTACTAGCATGTTTACCTCTTTGCTAACACACAGATAGCATGATTTAATGAGCTGATGGCATGCTGCTAACATTACCATATTGTGATTTATAAATTATATCTTGTTGTTAACATATTTCTTTTACATTGCTAGTCTGTTTCTAACATTTTAAGAACATTACTAACATATAGCAGTTTGCTAGCATGTTTTTTTTATTATTTTGCCAGTATATAACAGAGAGAGTGTGTCTCAATAAGCTCCCCAGTTAATTAGTCTATGCTAGATACTAGGTTTGTTATTTAGACCGATGGATTAGAATTAGACATATAGAAATAGACAATTAGACAATCAATAATAATAATAGTAAGTATACAGAGTGTAGGAGACCAGAATGTTGACTTACTTAAAGTAACATAACAAGTAATATAACATTTCATTTATTAAAAATATCTATTTCTCAGTTGTATTTTAAGCAATTACTTCACCTGGTTTGGAGGTATCAGTTTGTCCCCGTTTGGCACGGAGGCAGTATTCCCAGCGTACAGCAGGATCCTGGACAAAGCGAGCAATATGGCTGAACAGTTGGCTGAAGCTCATGTTTGTGGCATGGTATACAGTGTAGTAAAGCAGAGCGGCTCTCCACAGGAAGGGCTGCTTCCGAAGCAACACACTGTGAAGACTAGCGAGCCCTTCTTCGGTCGGATTAGCTGGTTTCAGTCCAAACTGTTTTCTCCCGACAGAAGTGGCCCACGGCTGCATGCTGTTATTCACTCCCCGCAAGTAATGTGTGCCTGCATGTGAAAGTTAGAAAATTGCTGTAAGGGTGGGTTTTAGTAAACAAAGGACTGTAATATCAACTGCATTCAACCAGAATGACAATAAAATATTGCTTGGGTAGTAGGATTAACAGCAGTGCATCTTAGCAAGGTGTGTACAAATTAATTACTTTGTCTGATTACTCCAAAGGTGATGATAAAATATATCTGAAACTTACAATAAAACATACCCCAGGCAATGTATTTCAGAATCAGATTTGCAAAAAAAAAAAAAGTATTTGGTGCCCTCTAGTGGATATGTCTTCTGAAATGTGGAACAAAATATACCCAGAGCAACATAAATTACTGTGCATATTGTAAAAATGTAGGCTGAGGAACGTATTTCCAATGAGCCCTGATTGCATTTTTTTTATTGAAACCCAAATAATACTTACCATGTACTCAAAATTACTTGTTTTTGCTTGCTTGTAAGGCTTCCTTCCCCAAATATTATACCAAATATCGGCCAAATATCACCAAATAGATTATTTTTGCTAATTTAGGATAGCGTTTGTATGCTTTTAGTATTTTGGTTTTGTATTATGATAACTTTTCACATTAGTTTTTGCAATTTTGCTGAACACTTTTTTGATGCTGTTGTGGTGGGATTGGTTTGGCTGAGGTTATGGTTTGGTTTAAAAGTGGGTTAAGGCATAAAATTAGGATCAACAGTGTAATAATGACAGAGATACAAATACAATTAAAGCAGCAAGCAGTGATGAAAGGACCTCGTACCCGGGCTCACCGCCGCCCGGTGGCCTCAGGATGAGAGAGAATAGTGAACAAAAATAATTTAAGCTGATATATATATATATAAAAAAAGAAAAATCACAGATTTATGCCAAATTTCCTCCTGCTATGACTATGACTCAATAGTGGCATGTAGACATCTAAGGAGAGGATTCTTATAGAACGTGAATTTTCAGGCAGGTCAGACATTGTGTGGTTGAGTTATAAGCCCAAATTCTTTCTGTCAGCAGGTGGCGCTATGACTGTGACTAGATATTGGCATGTAGATGTCTTCAGGAGAGGACTTTTATCAACCATGTGAAGTTTCAGGTAGGTCATCATTTAGTTCACACGCTTGCTTTTGAGTGATGCTCCCAGCCGTTAGATCACTCCTTGGGGGGCTGGCTGCAGTACAAGTCATAAAGGGCCCTATCATACACCTGGCGCAGTGTGGCGCAAGGCGTGGCGCAGTAGTCTTTTGGTAGTTTCAGCTTGGCGCAAGAGTCGTTTTGAGGCGTTGCACTACGCTGTTTAAATAGCAAATGCATTAGCGCTCATTTTTGCGCCCATAGGCTTTCTGGTCTAAAAAGGAAGGCGTTCTGAGGCGGACCGCTGGCGCGTTGCTATTTTGAGAATCTATAATAGATTTTTCATTAGACCAAAACTAACCCGGTCTAAACTCCGGCGCAGAGTTGCACCTCGCTTACGCACTGCTTAATACGCACAAGAGAGCAATAGGCAAATATCTTTACATATGAACAAATTTAAATATTAAGGATATATATATAGGATATAATAACAATAGATACAGAATATAAATATAAAGGATTTAAATATTACAAAACATATTATTTTCTAGCCTACATAAATATGAAAAACCACTGCTTTTATGTCTTCTTCATCTCGGGAGGCTTTTTCAGTTCATTCATAACAATTTGCTTTTGTATAATGTTATTATTATTAGCAGTATTATTTATTATATCCATATTTATGTTTGTTTTATTAAAAACAAGCTTGGATTTGCCCACCTGTCAGGTTTTACACCATATGGGACACAACATGTTGATACTGTTGATACTTAGAAATCTTGCTGTATTTATCTTTTAAACGCACAATTTTTCCCGCATGGCATATAGCTGGCTATGGTGTGTATGTTTTGGGTCTTGTTGATTATTAATAAATAAATAATTAAAAATAAAAATCTTTCTAAAAATGTATGTGTTGTTTATTCATTATTTTTCATATTTTACAAATGTTATTTTCACTTTTATGAAGATAACAAATACCAAAAACCCTTTATAAGAGAAATACTTTTTGTGTTCACCATGGTTGAGTGTATGAAAGATCATTTATTTCTACAGTCCAACATAGATTGTTTTTAGTAAATTATTAAAAGCAGCACAGTTTAAAAAAAAATAAATCATATATTATTATGTGTTTTTTTAATGCAATTGCTCATTTTTATGTTAGTGAGCCTTTGTTATAATGCAGGTATGTGCGGTCAAATGAGAAGTTCAAGGGGTGTTGGTTGGAAGCTTGATTCCGTAGCTCCACCTCTGGCTCCATCTGGTAGTCCTTTCTGCGCATGTCCAGGCTCCAATTTTAGCAGTGTTTTGTGTCAGTTTGTGCCTGTCAAGAGGTGTTTTGCATTCAAATCGTTCAATGGGAAAAGGCGCTGTCGTGTCATCCATATTTTTTACAGTCACTGGTTCAAATCAATTGTTATGAACAAACTGTACATGTCTTTATATTGTACTTTTGTTTTAAATATTATCTGCGTATAATTATATCTGTAACTAGTATCTGTATTTACATTTATAATTTTACTAGTTACCCTAACACCTTAACCCACACTTAAACATACCATCCCACCAATCCCGTCCCTAACATTATCCATATTGCACTTCAATAGCAACACCTACATATTAAAGCCATTTCAAATCAATTGGAATCCTGCATTGTAATGCAAGACAATTAATATGTTGGTCCAACATAACAATACACTTTTTACTTCAAACGTATCAAAGCTTCCAAATTCACATTTTAAAACCATAATAATGAACAAAACTTGAAATATACAGGAAATTTTACTTTTTATTTTCTATAATGCAAAAGCCCCTGGAAAATTCTTATTGAGTTTTGCTCTAGGAGCCAGTATAATGCAAACTTTCAGGATGCACTACTAAAATACATCATCAGTTTGTGCTTTATTAAATCAAGCAAGATCAATTAGATTAAAAATGAAAAACTGATAATGTTCAGTCATCAGTCACACAAGAAAGGAAAAGTCTGATTAAGTAGTATTGTTTGACATAGAAGTTTCAAATTTGTTAAAGTTCATACCGATCTCGTGTCTCAGCATGCCCTCAAGCCAGTGTTGGCGCGCTCCTGACAGGTTAATGGTTAGTGTTGGTCGACAACGCTCCACCATCATTACTGCCTGGGACAGAAGCTCATCGGAGAGACTTACAACCACCTGGTAAAAGAATCTGAAATTACTATTCTGACATTAGCAAGATATTAATACACAAACTCTTAAACGAGCACTTATTTTACAGTCGAAATCTCCCCTTAGTCCCCTAGAGTTAAACAGTCAAGATTTACCATTTTTGAAACCATTCAGGAGCTCTCCAGGTATGGCTGGAGCATTTTTAGCTTAGCATAAATCATTAAATCGGATTAGTTTATTAGTATCTCGCTCAAAGATTTCATAAATAGCCTCAATATTTTTCCTATGTAAAGCTTTTGTAGTTACATCATGTACTAAGACAGTTGGTATTTTCTGGGTCAGTATTGCTAGGAACTATACTCTTATTAATAATAATGACATTACACAACACTGTTGGTTACACTGTCAGAAATATTGGTACAAGAGTTGTCACTGAGGTGGTACCTTTTCAAAAGGTACATATTTGTACTTAAATGGTTTATATTGGTATATATATTCAAAGGTATATATTAGTACGTAATATGTACCCCCAAGGTATTACTAGGAACCCTTTAAGCAATAATATGTACCTTTAGAAAAGGTACCACCCCAGAGACAGATCTTGTACCTTTATTTCTGAGAGTGTAGTTACCTAGCTGGGGACTGTTACCACGTTCTGCGTAATATGTTGACCTAAAAATTAGCAACTTTCATTTTTTGTTGGGTCATTGATGGACAATTTAACTACAGAATGGTCAAGCTTTAAATTGGAAATTATCAAAAAAAAATTTTAATATTATAGTGAGAAGCTAATGTTCTAATCCATATTCAATTATTTATGCTAAGCTAAGCAAAAAGTGGAACTCTAGGGAAGTTAAAAAGGAGTCAAATTAGTAGAGTGTTCCTTTAAACCAAGATATCCACACACCTCACCAACACAGCCCTCCTTCTGTAGGTACTTGCGTGTTGCTGCCCACACTTGACTCTTCGGTAGCAAGTTGCCCCCTGTGACCTCCTCAAAGTTTTCATACGTCTCATATTTCCTCAACACACACTCCATAATCCCAACTGCCTAGAAAAGGACATGTGGAAAGACAAACAGAAATAGTTGTAAGATTTAACAAGTATTGTGACTGTTCTAAATGGGTGATAAGGTGAATAAAACAAAAACTTGTTTGTGTAATTTGTACAAAGAAGGATATAATAACAATTATATTAGGTCAATAATAATATGTTATTTCCTGAAAAGTCTAAGGACTATTTAATCATTAATTTTCCTTTAGCTTTGTCAATTATTTATCAGGGGTCACCACAGCGCAATGAAATGCTGTGTAAGGACCATTCATTCATTCATCCATTCATTCATCCATTCATTCATTCATTCAGTTTCTTTTCGGCTTAGTCTCTTTATTAATCTGGGGTCACCACAGTGGAATTAACTGCCATCTTCAGCATATTTTTTACGCACCGGATGCCCTTCCAGCTGCAACCCATCTCTGGGAAACACCCATACACACACACACACAAACACTACGGCCAATTTTAGCTTACCCAATTCACCTTTACCCCGTCATTGGACTTGTGGTTGAAACCGGAGCACCCGGAGGAAACCCATGCGAACAAAGGAAGAACATGCAAACTCCAAACAGAAATGCCAACTGACTCAGCCGAGGCTCGAACCAGCGACCTTCTTGCTGTGAGGCGACTGTGCTACCCACTGTGCCACGGCGTTGCCCTGTGTAAGGACTATTTATATGAAAACTTATTGTTCTTATTTTTCTTCCTTAAAGGTATAGTTTGAGTATAAAGTTCCGTTGCACTTAGAAATAATGTAGAAGCTGAAGTGAAAAAAAAAAAAGGTTTCTAATTTTTAAAGGTGATCAATAATGAAAATCTGGGTATACCAAGGCATAGTCAAATAATAAACAATCAGTATATGAAAATGGGCATACTGTGAGCCTCAGACACTATGATTCTGCATATTCATTTAAATTCCATGAGTGTAAAACACTGGTGGACAACAGGCCAATCAGAAGACAAAGCAAACTGTGATGAGACTCATGGGCCACGCCCTCCGCATTTGCATGTATGACTAATTTGGTTCATTCATCCGGACCTGATGAACAGCCATGTCATCAAGCTCTGAGATCATTAATATGATACACACTCAGGTATCAGTTCAGTACTCAGTATCGGCCGAACTTAGGTATCAGAATCGATATTTGGAAAAAAAAAAAAAGAAATGAAAACATCCCTACTGTAAAGTGATTCACTAGAACAAAGCTAAATTCTTTCAACATAAATTATACCTGGGACAGAAAGAGGCTAGAACCCTCTTTGTACTTCTCCAAAACACTGACGGGCTCCGGGGAGGAATATTCAAACTGGGGCTCATACTGATAGTCGGACTGAAAAAAGGTCTGACGCTCCTGCTCCAGGTTTACAGGACGCAGAGCCACAAGCAGACAAGGCCCGCGAGGTGTGGAAGGTGAAGGGAGTGAAGCGATACCCCTGGCAATATGAGGCAAGGAGGTTGCAGGTCTCATCTGAGCTCTTCCCGCACGTGGAGGCGTTGAGGAGATCATGGTGCATGTGCTTTCGCTCCGCCGAAGCCAGTTTCCTGGCCCCAAACTAAGGCTTGTGAGGCTTCTCATTGGTGGAGAAGGGCCACCGGTACGCCATGGCGGCTTCATGGTCTTCTGCACTGCAGGCTGCGCCGCTCGAACTCGCTGTGGTTTGATTTCCAGACTAAGTGGCCTTCGACATAGTGGCTGTTCTCCTTTATTTCTGCTTTCTGTCTTCTGGAGCCTTCTCTGAACTTGGGAACTGCTTTCCCCTGAGGTACAAGTTGGCACATGCGGCCCATTATGAGCTGCTTTGTCTCTTTGGGTGATACTGCTTGTCCTGGCTCTGACCGGTTTGGGTTTTTCTGGACTGGGCTCTGGTTCTAACATCTCTGACACATTGTTTGTGAGCCCTCCTCTATTAGCCTGCTCCATGCAGTTTTCACCCAGATCCAGCACCATCGCTACATCCACACCACTGTCCACTGATGCTGCACACCTGAAGAGAAAAGCACAGCTCCAGTTCCACAGCACTATATGATTATAAAGAATGATGCACGCATGAAAAAATCCTTTCACTCTGTTCTTAACCCTGGTTTATCTTTTTTCTAAAAAAAAAACTTTTAACCCTTGTGCACTGTTCAAATTGACTACCATTTTGTTATGTTTGGGATGAAAACATCCAGTGAATTAAACTGCTGTAAAAATACATCAGATTAATATTTTTTTTTTTCAATTTTTAGTCCTTCAGTCCTGATCAAAACTATTGAATTGTTTGAAAATTACAGGGTTTTAACTTTTTAATTGTCAAGTTCACAAATGATGTCACTGATTTGGTGACAAAAAACACACAAAATAATGTATTTTCAATATAAATATTACTTGTGACCTGGATTTTTTTTAACCTTTTATTACAATCTTGGATATAATGTACATTAGGGTTAACCCATGGGAAAGGAACATTTCACACTTGTATTTCAGAAGCAGGGTTTAAACCCTTTTGAACATTTCAGGTTACCTTTCAGTTTTAACCTAGTAAGTTTAGATGTTTCATTTTAAGTTTCAGGGCTTCAGAATTTGGGTATGGTTTCTATTGGGTTTCATTGCCATTGTAACTTAAAGGTTCATGAAACCCTATCATTTAAGACAATGTTAGCACCAGTTAGCTTTAATTGTGGAAAAAAAACTGGATAATTTGGAGCTTTTGTCAGCTAATTTCAGCTTCTGTATTTAAAATTATTTTTGGGGCGGGATCAAAATCTGAGACGTAGCGCAAAACTGCAAGTGCAAAGATGATGCATCGGTTTCTCATTATTATTCATAGCGGAGTTTTCTTATCCTTTGAGAAGAGCCTGCTTCTAAACTATTCATGACTGCACGTGCTTTCTGAAGGCAAGGCAGCCCTGCCAGTGCCAAGCTGTGAGACACGGACCCACAGCACACAGTATTTAGCTGTTCAAAGGTCATTGTGTTTGTTTTCATAACCCACGGGTTTGACGCATGTTTTATCCAGCAATCCTGTCAGGGCCGATACAGCAAAGCTGTTTGTGTGCAGCAAGCATTTTTGTCGGGAGAGCAGTACGAGAATTGGAGAATGGTGGACGTTGTCATTTATCAGTAGTTCGTTCACATTTAGACACATCGCCGTGCTGCTGTGTTTGCCTGTGTTTCACGGTTTTGGTCTTATTTTGTGAGCTAACTGACAACAGTTGTTTGCTCCCCTCCTTCTTCCCTGCTGGCCACGCCCACTCCTGCCCTTTGCTCGTGGTACTCCACACCCATCTTTAGAAAAAATTTTGAGGTAGACTTAAACCGAAAGTGGGGGGTGTCATGACCCTTTAAAAGGATAGGTCGCCCATAACTGAAAAGTATGCATCATTTACTCACCCTTCACTTTTCACAAAACCATTTCTTTCTACTGTTGAACATAAAAAATATATATTTAAAAAATGCTGAGAACTTTTCCTTTAACCCTGAACAAAATTATTAGCCCTGCTGTCAATTTTTTTTTAATTTCTCAAGTGATGTTTAATAGAGCGAGGACATTTTCACAGAACTGTATATAATATTTGTTTCCATCTGGAGAAAATTTATTTTTGCTTGGCTGTAAAAAAGTCTTTTTTATTTACAGAACAATTTTTAAGGTCAACATGTCTAGCCCCCTTAAGACATATTTAGTTTTCAATTAGCTACAAAAAACAACCGTTGCGCAAATGACTTGCCGAACCTAAATTGCCTAGTTTACCCAAATAAACTAGTTAAGCCTTTAAATTGCATGTTAAGCTGAATATTAATATATTGCAGAAATAAAATAAATCAAATATTTACTGTTATCATAGCAAAGAAATTAATTATTAAAAGGTTTACATTTAAAAATGTGTTCGAAAATATTTTTATGTAAAACAGCACTTGGTAAATATTTGAAACATAATAAAAATTTCACAAAAAGTCTGATAATTTTGACACATTATACGAGATGCCAATTAGCATTAAACATTGCATTTAAATTAATATAAATATATACATAATAACGGCCATTAATATACAGTTCCTATAGAAAATCATCAAACCTCTTTTGAAATAATGGCTTTATTTGTCATACAGCCTGAAATCACATCACATTGCCTTTGAAATGTTTTTGTAGCCATCTCCTATATATATTTGCAAACTATTTTTTATAGCATTGCCTTTACAAAACCTGTCGAGTCATTTACAATGCTCAATTTGATTTGCTTCTTAGTGAGTTTGTGATACTGTTTTTTCTGCACTTCACATTTCTGCGTGTTTCACTTTGTGACCCTGAAATGACAAGGTGGGAGAAGTCAAGGGAACTTGGGCGTTTACAGCAGGACCTGTCATCACCTGGAGACACAGTATCATCGAGGTGGTCTAACAGCTCAGTAGGTCTAGGCTTGCTGTAAGCACCCGAGTTCACTTGTAATATTTGATTTTGTAAAGGCGATGCTATAAAAATGTTTTTGCAAATATATATAGTTTTTTATTGCAAATATTTTAGTTATTTTTTGCACTGCTTGATTTTTATTTGCAGTTTTTGTTTGCAAATTTCATTTTTATTTCTCAACTTAATTTTCCCTTGCAGTTCATTATTTTTGCTAGCAAAATTTATTTTTATTTCTCAAAAATGTATTTTTGCTTTGTGATTTTTGAAAAATTGCATTTATTTTTTGCTTAATATGTTATTTTTTGTTTGCAAAACTTTCTTTTATTTTGCAAGTATAAATGGCCCTAGACTGACTCCATGAGATGGGGTTGACGGGAGAATTCTTCCAAAATGAAGACAAGTAGGGGGAAATCGGTCTATTTATTGTAGACTTGGATTAATCTGATTAGTGTTATCACTGATTACTAGGGATGTTACAATATTGTAAATACCGTCATAACGCAATAGTAATTTTTTTCAATATTACCGTAGGCGAATGCCTCAATAAAACTATATTTCTGAGAAAAGTTTGCTTAGGCGAATGAAGCGAACGGGAGGTAGCCGGAACTTCAATTCCCATCAGCCTAGGCGTGGCCATCATCCTTTGCGGTCTGTTGGCACTACATATCCAGTAATGCGCAAATGGAGTGTGTCGCTAGTAGCGGAGAAGAAAAAGAGCTGGAAATGATCGAACCTAAAGCGGGTTTTAAATCGGATGTGTGGAAGCATTTCGATTTCTTTCTAAAAATATACGAAAAAAGGAGAAAAGGTGACAAAGAAAAAAAAAACAGTATGCAGGCACTGCCAGACTGTGGTGAAATATAAGCCGGGAATACGACTAAAAACAGTCATGGGGACTGCAGAACACAGCACACTTGTTAGATTAATGCAGACATTGACTTGTACCGCAAAGAGACCTCTATCTCACTCATGGCTTGTCCTCTTAAGTGGTATACTGAGAGGACTGCTGTCAACCTTGGCTAAATTATATCTTTCTGTCCCAGAAACCTCAGTCCCAAATGAGAGGGGATTTTTTTCGGTTGCAGGGGACATGCCCAGAGATCCCAGCTTTTACCAGATTATAGTTATATGATAATTTTCCGTAAAAAACCCATCTCTATCTAAGTAAGTGAGTGATTAAATGATGAATGTGATGAGTTTTCAACAATACTAAATTGAAACTTTATTTTTTTTATATGGTTTAATAGTTTTTTTGTTATTAAAATTGAAAAATTAGAGTTCCTGTTTCAAAACTTACAGATAGATGGCTAATTTGTATGTCATTGATATGTTCAGTGCTAAGGTAAATAAACACTTTTGGCCCTTTTTTCGAGTTTTTTCATTAGTTTTGTTTTTCCTGTAAATTATTCAATAAATACCGTACCGTGCCATTCATACCGAGGTATTATCGTACCGTGAAATTCTGACACCGTTACATCCCTACTGATTACAGATGGGAGACCAGCCACAATCAATCATATCATATGCTCTCGAAATTATGCTGTATCCCAATCCGCATACTATCAATCCTAAACAGTATTTAAAATTAGAATAAGTATGTCACAAACCGCAATGTGTTGAAAAGAGTATGCCAAAGGTTCCAGAATGGTTTACTATTTCCAGTACAAACTTGAAGTGCAGAAGCGTATAGATACTCTATCTGCTGATATTGCCCACAATACATTGCTCGTTGGATGTTAATTGGTTTAGAACCACAAGCTTAGGTAAAAGGTACAGGGGCGCCCCCAAGGGGTGGCCAGGGGTGGCCGGTAAACTCTGGCCACCCCTGTGGCCACCCCTTTGGCCACCCCAATATAATTTTGCTGTTGACATTATGTACTTATAAATCCACAACATTTAAATAAATAAAATGCAGCCACTAAATTATTGTTGGTGTTACTGACGTAGCTGATTCATTGTCTCTCCCACTTAGTGCTGGTTCAATGCTGAATGCTGGTGAAAGCAAACTGACGCATGCGCGCAGAAAACCATTCCCGCGCGCCTCACGCACTCCTGTGTAAATCCCGGTTGGTTGTTTGCATGTACGCCGACAAAATACGCGCCGCTCATGCGCCGTGAAACGGAGTAACAGCCTTTTGTGCAGAGGTGAAAGTCGACTAAAGTTTATATAGTATGATATGATGATGATGATGATTAGGATGTTACTTTCACTAAGCATGCCTTTAAAGCATAAAGGAGGGATAATGTGTCAGGGAGGTAAGACTTCATAACATGATTTCTTAGCCATGATCTGGTCTAAGACCACAGATAATTCTATAATACATTTTTTGTATTCTTTAGAATTGTCATAATTAATTTTCATGCAAAAGGTTTCTTAAGTGATCTTGGCATATCACTCCAGTTGTTGTTTTCCAGTAATATTTAGGATTGATTTCTTGTTATTCAGAATAATAATTGTATAATAATATAAATTGTATTTATTTAAAATAAATATAAATAAATTGATATATTTATTGAATAACAAATCTAACAATTCAAGGGAGGTGGGGGTGTATATGGTGGTTCGCCCAGGGTGTCATTTAAGACTAGAACCGCCA